ACAATGAAGTACGCGAGGTACAACCACTTGCCCACCAATTCGTTTTTAACAGAAGAATCGATCGAATTCAAGCTGAATTTCTCGTTTGCGAGATGCTCCAACTGTGCTGTACAAAGATCACCTTGCATTACATTTGTTTGTTGAAGCAAAAGTACTCATAAGGTTGTTGAAAACTCTTTGACAGCGTATGACCGGTATCGTCCTTTTTAGGGCTCATCAGGTAGGCGCAGTCCGAGGGTTCCTGTCAACAGTATATTCTACTTGAAACAAAATTGCACCAAGTTTTCGAAATACTCTCATACGCACACCAATTTGGTTTTAACGGGAGACTCTACTGAATTCCAGGTAAATCACTCGCACATTTAGGGTTGAAGTAGGACATAAAGCTGATGGGAACTCGGGGACTGCACCTTGAGTCCAAAGAAGGCGAAACTGATCAAGAAATGTTGAAGTGTTTCAAATCTTATGAATAGTGTTCCTGTAAGTGCTTTTCTGGAGTAGAAACTGAAAGCATTCAGAAACAGAAACACAACGGACGAGCAACCATCCTACGTATACCGACCGATCTCGGCATTCGGAGGGGGAGACTGTGGCAGTAACTAAGTTCACTGAGGATAGACATAAATTGCATGTGGATGCGAAGCCTGTCACTGAACAGAGATTGGGGTCAAAATAACTCACTTTTCTGTGGACTTCGATTGGACCAGCTACTAAAGGAACCAGACTGGGAGCCGAAGTCGCCCGGTCCACGACGCGGAGTTTTGTCGAAGTGTGAAGCCGCTGAAACCGAACAAGGTCCACAAAAGGTTAGTGGAACGAAGCNTGAGTATAAGCATTTACAAAATCCGGAATGTGTAACCAGGATTTTCCAATTTCCAACTCATGAGTACTGACAATTCTGTAGGATGATAATTAGAGGTGATAATAACGCCCTTGGAAACAAAAAACGTGGTGTACCCTTTGCAGTTTACTAGTAGCGGGTATCGGTCAAACCGGTGCAATAGTTGGGCAATAGGCCAATTGCCGTCAAAATCGTCGATAATAACAGTCTCTTGGCCTTCATATAAGTTCCACCATGCTTTGCTGTTTTTCCAATACGTAGCTTGTCCCTTTGATTTTTCCAATGCGGTTTTGCTATTGCCGGTCCCCGTAGGACCCCATATCCATATGACTTGCGTTTTGAAGTCTCGTTGGGATTGTGTTCCTCGCAGAAATTGTATGGTTTTCTTGATGCCATTGAAGTTCCTGCAGAACAGTGGGAAGTAGTCCCGGGCAAGTTCTTCTGTGAGCTTGACATCTTTGACGTCTTGTCAGTCAGTGGAAACGGATTGGGGTATGTTGGATTAGTGAACTGGATAGCCAAAATTTGAATATTCGTATATTAGAAGCCAACCTTGGTGTGCTGATTCTGGTGTCAAATTTTCTGCAACAGAGCTCTGCAGCTTTCCAATTTCTGGCTGGTTCAATGTGTGCTCCTAATAGGAAGAGCCGCACATCGGACAGTCGCATAGGTACGGTTGTTTCGAAGTAGAATTGGTAATGTTCTGTCCCATTGCTGCCTCATTCTCTAGCCTCTCGACTAAATAAACGCCGGATATCGTCGAGATCAGTAGATCTTATTGCTACTGAACGGGCCACACCAGCAACTGGCAACTATGATGGCACACGGAGATCCTCCAAACACTGGATAATCAGCACCTTGAAGACAAAAAATGCTGGTGGATTCCGAAAGCCCAGGAGATGGGGAAGGTTTTCGCTGCAGACATACGCCCCCGCTGTTACAACTGATTCGATCAACCAGTCAAAAGTAAGCAAGTGTCAGTGAAGCAATATGCGAAAAAGATGGAACTGCAATTCGCTCCCTCAACCGGTGGGTTGAACACTTCGAGGAACAGTTAAGCTGGTCTCCACCAACCCGCCATCAGCGACCGAATCCTGAAGCACAACAAGGCACTTGGCCCGATGATCTGCACCCAGCGCACTCCAAAGGTGACGAGGTCCTGGTGAGCAGTCTGACGACCGTACTGCAGATCGAAACGAAAACAGAATACCAGCCGAATGGAGCTCTTAGACCGACAACCCAATTTTCAAACAGGGCCCAAGAACGTCATGTGAAAACCACCGTCGTATCAGCCAAATGTCCATGGAATCTAAGGTGCTCTCGGATATTATTTTGCGCAGATCGACGGACTATCAGGAGAAACATTCGAGGGAGAATCAAGCTGGGTTTTGCCCTGGTTGAAGATGCATCGACCACAGTTGAGACAGTCTTGAACAGCGCTACACCTTCAGACCTCCCGCGCTGGTCATTTTTCTTGATTTGAAAGCTGCTTTTGATCCTGTCGATCGTCGGAAACTTTGGAAGTGTCTGGCGATCAAAGGTTTACCTTCCAAATTTATACCCTTATGAGGGTACTGTATGCAATCTCCTGTGTAAGTGTGTACGAGTATACAGCTGACTTCATCACATCGAGGTATAAGACAAAAAAGCGTTCAGCTGTAGCACCCTACCGGTGCCCAGCTGTTATGCCACTCGAAAGAAGCTGGGATACTGCCAGGTTGCCCGAGCCTAGACGGGGGAAGTCGAGAGGCGGAGGTCGGATTCGAACCACGAACCTTCCGGTCAGTAAATTCGCGCTCTAACCACAAGACTGTCCTCTCTCATCTTTCCACGTCAACTTTGTCATTATTGTGCTGCTTGAAAATTCTGTCTGCATCTGAAACCTGAGGAGTCGAAATGCTGCCGGGAAACTGACAGACATTGAGTATGTAGACGACTTTAACCTAAATAACTCTGCCGCACGGTTTGGCATGCGCTTCACACCTCCGAAGTGTAAAGTGCTACTACGAGAGTGGGATTGTACCAACACCTCATGTTTGCAGGCGAGCCAATCGACGAGGTAGATAAGATTCCTTACCTGGCCAGCTGTATACGTTTCGGTGGACTGGCTCCCTGGACGGGGACTCCGGGACTCAACTCCTCAATGGTTAGGGACACTGGCAGGAATGACCCGATCGCGCAGTTAATGGCTCTGGTGCATCCAAGCTATCGCCTTCAATGCGTGGCTACCCGATTTCCGAACAAACTGATCATGCCATCGCCTCCAAGGTCTCGCTCTATATCCTACACCCAATCATCTTCCGATGATCAAAACTGTATTAGCTAGAATCAATGTGTCTATAGTACACAGTTTATAGCTGAATTGAATTGACCAAAGTCTAGGTGCTGGCGGCACGACCCACCTTCCAGGATAATGACCGCGTGAACCCCACTGCACCCGGTTGGAGACGCTGCAAGCTATGGCTCCCAACCGATAGCAGTGACGTTCTTGTCATTTTTAACGAGTGTTTGGAGGTGTAGGCCCCTCGGAATGATTGTGATTGGTTAGCACTAAGTCTCTTTCCCGTCCACTTTCATTGTTCTCCTCAAAATAAGGCAACAAGGCATCAGTATGGTGGGGATGTAACCCTTCAACCCATCAGTGCAAGATTTTGGCAACCACACTTACCGACAAGAGCCGTTAATTGACACTCAATAAGGATCCAATGTGATACTCTGAAGAGGTCGTACTGATTGGTTCTCTGTCTGCCTTAAGACCTGGCCGATGTCGTGACCTGCTCACTTGGTCTGATTAAGCTTTTGTGCCAAAAGCGAAACGTTGTCGAATTAAAAAACTACCGATTAATTACCAAGCCCCTCTGAAACGATGAAACCCTGTCGTTTATGTGTGACATGTGTTATGCTTCTGTGATATGGGCATTCAAAGTTAAAGCCACGTTTAGAAGTCAACTGCTGTCCAATCGTGACTTTCTTTTGATAATGCCAGCCGATGTCGAAGCAAAACAGTGAAGTCGAACTGGGCGGAAATGTGCGAGAAAAGAAAAACCAACAGACTGTACCACTGAGGTCCTTGTCCATGGTCAACCACCTACTGTTTGCATTGAATACAACTTTCGAGCTACCATGGAATATTTTCGAAATCTGGTGAGGTGTAGCGGCATCCACGAAGCAAAAGTTTTTGGGGGCTAAAGAAGCGAAGCACTACTTCAACAACTAACAATGAAGTACGCGAGGTACAACCACTTGCCCACCAATTCGTTTTTAACAGAAGAATCAATTCAAGCTAAGCTGAATTTCTCGTTTGCGAGATGCTCCAACTGTGCTGTACAAAGATCACCTTGCATTACATTTGTTTGTTGAAGCAAAAGTACTCATAAGGTTGTTGAAAACTCTTTGACAGCGTATGACCGGTATCGTCCTTTTTAGGGCTCATCAGGTAGGCGCAGTCCGAGGGTTCCTGTCAACAGTATATTCTACTTGAAACAAAATTGCACCAAGTTTTCGAAATACTCTCATACGCACACCAATTTGGTTTTAACGGGAGACTCTACTGAATTCCAGGTAAATCACTCGCACATTTAGGGTTGAAGTAGGACATAAAGCTGATGGGAACTCGGGGACTGCACCTTGAGTCCAAAGAAGGCGAAACTGATCAAGAAATGTTGAAGTGTTTCAAATCTTATGAATAGTGTTCCTGTAAGTGCTTTTCTGGAGTAGAAACTGAAAGCATTCAGAAACAGAAACACAACGGACGAGCAACCATCCTACGTATACGACCGATCTCNGGGGGAGACTGTGGCAGTAACTAAGTTCACTGAGGATAGACATAAATTGCATGTGGATGCGAAGCCTGTCACTGAACAGAGATTGGGGTCAAAATAACTCACTTTTCTGTGGACTTCGATTGGACCAGCTACTAAAGGAACCAGACTGGGAGCCGAAGTCGCCCGGTCCACGACGCGGAGTTTTGTCGAAGTGTGAAGCCGCTGAAACCGAACAAGGTCCACAAAAGGTTAGTGGAACGAAGCAATATGAAATCAATTTGGTCGGTGTATAGGTTGAAGGAGACTATAACAAACTCGATCAGTCACATGCCCATCCTCGGCTGGCAAAACAGGCAACAGAATAGAACACATAATAGAATCCAGCGAATTGGGTTCTAATTCCTATTTCCCCGAGAGTTCGCCATGGGTGACAGAAATGACAGAAGACGATCATGTATTTTGGACCTGAAGTAAGCGGGTAGAAAACACAATGCTAACTCACGAGTAGCTGAAATCTGAGAACCTCGCACCCAGTCAGTGGTGTCGGGGATTACTGTTGCACGCGTCGGCCCGTCTCGCTGTCCACCTGAAAAAGTAAGTGCGTAAGGAGTAAGTGGTTGAAGCCAATCCGTAGTAAATGACAAAGCTCAGTACGTAACAGCCCTAGCAAAATTCCGAATTTATTCAAAACGGTTATTCGGTGGAGGCAAATCATTACGGAAGGGTACAGAACAGTGGATTCTCACACCGAGGACACGTTAGACATTGTTATTCACAAAGTTGGTTAAATATACAAGAACCTACTCGAAAATCCGAATGTGTGACGTGGAGGACGATGCACAGGTTCCACAACCCTTTCAGAAGTGTTCTGTTCAATCGTTTCACCTGCAGGCGTTGAAATACATTAAAAAACATTCTCCATGACAAGCCTGTTTGTCCGGTAGGTTGGATGAAAAACGAATGAAAATAAACTCCTCAGTGAATAGCCTACCTCTCTATCAGCTGTTATTTTAAAGGTGCATTTGGGCAGCTGGAACGTGTTGTTGAGGGACACCGTAGGTCACGAAACACATCCATGGTGCTAAATTGTGTGGTTCCCAAAATCACCTCACTCAAGTTCATGCCAGTCGCACCAAAAGGTTCGAAAGGCTAAGCTAACCTCCTGGATTCAAAATTACGACCAACATCTCAGTCAGCACAAGTGTTTTACTCAACTTTAACAGATGAAGGGGGCACTGAAATCAAGCAGCTGAGGAAAACACAGAACCCATCTTCCTAACCCGTTTGTGAGGAAAAAACTAGTGCACCGGCTGAGATCATCCATGCAGAGCATTTCCGATGCAGTACAGGTGCCGTACATCATCATCGAAGAGAGGAACATTAGTGTTGACACTGATGCTTCACCGCCGTACAACCATAAGGTTCATATTTGAGTGAGTGAAAAGAGAAAAAGGGTGGATAAGGGACCTGATGCTGGCCTATGCCAAGCATTCTGAGGTGCCTACACCTCCAACCGCACGGATGCCACTGACATCGACAAGCCACCATTTCTTGCAACTTCTCCAGCCAAGCACAGATGCGGGCACGGAGACCCCATCCTGGAAGGTGTACAACACCAACAACACCCAAACTCCCCGTGAACTCTTTCACGCCCTTCTACCAAGTCATGCGCTGTTCACCTCGCGGTTTGCGCCATCCTGAAGGAGGCACGGAGAACAATACTAGTCTCGGCAGACGGTGTTTCGGCATGCATAGCACAGGACAGCCTGAGGTATCAACCGAACCTGGTAAACTGGGACTGATAAACTGCACAGTTGGCAGAGCCAGATAAGAGCAAACGGTCTGACCTAAAGTGGAATTTAAGTATCCTATATGGAAAACGCTTTCATCATTTACAGCAATAAGTGGACCACAGAATTTGCTGCGTACTGTATAGTGGTAGTGGAGCTGATGTGACGGCCTGCTAGCGGTTCCGCTTTCAATGGGGCGAGATGGTCCAAGTGGGTAGAGGGCGAATTTACTGACCAGAAGGTCCGTGGTTCGAACCCGACCTCTGCCTCTCGGCTTCCCCTGTCCGGGCTTGGCAACCTGGCCAGTATCTCAGCCTCTTGTTTTCGGGTGGCATGGCAGTTAGGCACCGAAAGGGTGCTACAGCTGAACGATTTTAATTCCTAGCAGAATTTCATGTGTTCGATGTTCAGGCTAACGGCTGTCTGTTTGTGCTGTAAAACCCATGAATATTATTTACGAAAAAGTGCGTATATTTACGTATCCCGACCTACAGTGACCACTTTTCAAATAGTAACTACCCTAGGACCAACCCATGCCCGAAGGATTTTGTTGCTGCTCTCCAAACTTCCCGGTTGGCACGGACACTCAGTTTTACCTGGCGTCCGGCTGCTGCAGTTGCGGTCAGGAAGAATCTGACGTGCGTGTCCCGAGAAAGATACGGTCTTGTCCGAGACCCAGTGTTTGGATGAAGTTGGTTGGATTGCACCTCAAACGGAAGTTCCGGTTCTTAATTGCACTATGGATATCTGTTCACAGTGGCCGTTAATGTGCGACATACGACGGTCCGACAGGCATTCGAGGCACCGGTTCTGGGTCCACTAGATTCTCAGCGGATAAGGGGGGACCTGGACAGGAGGACGATTTGGGTCCTCAAGCGGAAGCTCAAAAGCCTAACCACAAGGCAGCACTGTTTGGCGGAAAACGCAAGTGTATTTTAATCTCTACAGAGTAAGCGGCCACAAGTGTTCCAACCTCCAGACTGGAGAACCAGGAGATTGTGTTCGTCAGGCCTCGAACCATTGATCAACCTGGTATGAGACTGTGAGTGTCGCAAGACGGTACCCGGAGATTGTGTTCGTCAGGCCTCGAACCATTGATCAACCTGGTATGAGACTGTGAGTGTCGCAAGGACGGTACCCAATAAAGCTCAGTGGGTCGCAGATGTACACAATTTGTCACACGGCAATAATGTCCAGTCTACGTGACGGTGAATACACTGGATTCGAAAAGCCGCGTGAACAAACAACTGCGGTCCAAGTATTTGGAGAGAGCAATACCCACAGCTTGCTGTTTGGGTGACTAAGCAGCTAGGATAGCAACAGTTGCGAACTGGCTTGCACGTAAGAAGTGAAATTACGAAGTATGCTACCTAAAACATATCCGAAACACAGTGCCGTTTTTTCTCCTAAAACAATACAACGTGGCCAAATGAACTAAATAAAGCAGTGACGACCGTGCACGAAGACTACCGCTAGGCTAGATTCTGTGTAGTCGGAGAGGTTCTAGTTTGACACAATGGAGATCGAAATATAGCTCTTAAGCTATTCGAAAAGAAATGTTAAGAACTTGTTGTTGTTCGGGAGCTTTGGATAACTAACTACTTTAGTCATTAGCCGAAACCATACAACAGCCTTTTCATAATTTGGTTTCCAAAATGATGGGTGTGTTGGCCGAACGATCTTACTCTTCCGAGTCTGCATCGGACTCACAGGCCTACACGCGGTGGTACACCCAGACTGCGCAATCACATCTATTCGCAAAAGTCCAGTGGTCCAACAGGCAACTCCGTGTCGGATGCCAGTGGACGAACTAACCACTAATGAATGGATGAGGCAAATTTCTGCTGTTCTGATGAAGTGGAACACGAGTTGGGAAATCTCAACCGTTAGGACCGCTCGTTTGATGAAGTTCCCGCGAGGGCTCTCAACTGAGCTGTGGCTGTGTATTCACGAATCCAGAAAGTTTTCTGTCTTGGTATGGAGTGAAAACTAGCATAAGTTTGTTGGGTGTCAAAAAAATGGATATCACGACCCTCAAGGTGCCGCGGCTTGATGAGGGGATGTGCCAGGTGGGGGTTTCATTTATGCATGCCTAATACGCTCATTTTTCATGTTGTAAGCAGCAGGCATCTACTTAAAGAGAATAAAATTATTGAAAATAACCGGACCTCCAAAACGCATATGCACTCTGAGCTGTGTGCGACTACGATATCATTCTGTTGTAAGACGTAGCGAAATGCTTGAAGCAGATTACGGTTAAGGAAACAAGTTCCTGAAGGCTGACTGAAATCCAACAGCGCCAGTATGACTCACCACAATGTATGACAATACGCATTCAGTTTGAATAAGAGCACAATCATCAGTTTTTCAGGGGCGGTCTATTCCGTAAAAGGCCTATCGCCCATATTGCCACCGGTGCTATGACAAACCCTAACAGTGAAGATACGCAAAATGCCAACTTACTCTTTTTACTCTCTTGCAAGCTTTCCTCCTCTGCCCGTGCTGCCTCGCGTAAAGCTGCCTCCTTTGCTTCTAGGAAAAGGATCGAGTAAAAAAGCTTACGAAACACCAGATGGAGCGTTTTATTCAATGTCCTGAACAAAATAGGATTTCTATGTTCAATCAATAGAGGAAACTTGAGTTGGGGTTACAAAACACTGCCGACGGGAAAAATCCTGAGAATACATGAACCCAAGGCCATCGTTCGATTTAACTCGGGCACTGCCCCACGATTATTCGTGGCTGTTTGTCTTCAATGGTTCAACAGTCAGATAAAGCATTAGAATTTTATAAATTAAGTCTATGAATGCAATTACGCTTTGTCTGCTTCGAAATACCCATTGACATCAATCGGGACAAGTCGATCCGCTGGCAAAAGCCCAGTGAAAATAGTATGACGGTATTAAATAGACCTCCCTGTGTGTAATAACGGTAATAACTCAGCTCAGTTCTTGGTCTGAAACTTCCAAACTATTGTTGTTGTTAAAGGAACTAACAAGGGTGTATGAAACGTCCAAAACTAGGCTAAAAACACTTGTACAGCGTATCGTACATAAAGCGTATGAGAGAAAAACCTGGGAATTTCCACGCCTGGACGCGACATTGGCAACCGGAATGTTCGCAAAATCTTCTCTGTCGGTACTTCCCCTTTGGACTTCTGAAGCGTTCCGCCTGGCCGTTCGAATGTAGAAGACATGGCGACGAGCGGACATGAGTTGCACCATACTCACAACAAAACTGTGCGAACGCCGATGATGTGAACTGACTGTCATCGTCGAGTACGATAGTTTCTGGCACTCCAAAGCGACTGAACGATCCAGGACTGTAGTGGCACTTGTGGGGTTGTTCACTGAAAGAACTTCTGGTCACCAACTGGGCCCACATAGTCGATGTGAAGACGAGACCAAGGTTTGGTCGGCTGTTTTCACGCGTGATTTCGACGCTTGACTAGACCGCAGGCAAGATTTGGAGTACTGCTCAATCTGGGAGCCCATTAGGGGTCAGTAGACGTAACTTCGAGCAAGGGCCTTAAACCTCTTTGTTCCCGGGTGCCGTTTATGAAAATTATTCAGGACGGGTGTGCAGCACATTTGGAACGACGATCCGTTCTGAAAATAAAATTCATCTGTCAGCTAATGATGCGACCTGCCCCTTGACCTAAGGTTTCACTTCGTCTTTTGGACAGATACGCGGCCATTGGCTGCGGTGGTACTTGATGACCTGCTGAAACACAGGTAGACCATGTCAGCAGTTACTGGAAGAATGCGAACTGGTTCCGACACTGCAGTTCGCTTCCGGTTCCAAGGCAGTTGTTGCAACCACAACATCCTCTGGTTCTGGCATGCTTGAACCAATGAGACCCGACCTGTGCGAGGCCGGTGGTGGATTGGTAATTGATCTTGAAATCGTATCCCAAAAGCAGAGTGGCCCATCGCAGGGGCTCATGGCGGTATAAACCGGAATCCACGGTGAGGAGCTGCTTGTGGTCGGTTATTAAGGTGAACTGGCGGGCGTAGAGCATTTTATAGGGCAAACACGATCACCAAAGCTTCCTTCTCTATCTGAATGTAGTTACGCTAGGCTGGTGTTAGGGGTCCGGCTGCATTTGCAGCGGCTTTCTGACTACTGTGGGGGGATATACATGCAGAATCACTGTGCCAATATCATAGTTCGAAGCATCTGATGTCAAAACCATTTTGAGTGACAGATTATAATGGATGAGAAGCCGGAACTCAGTTTGTATTGGACAGCGTCAGAAGCACGTTGGCATTCTTCTGACCATGTCCACTTGAGGTTCTCGGAGGTGATACATAGCAAGCAGAAACGAGCTGTAGTGAATGACAAGACCGACAAAAGATCTGAGGGATGGCACGTCTGTGGGTACTGGCATACATTTGATAGCGTCGATGTTCTCCGGGTCTGGTCGGCGGCCGTGTTTGTCAATGGTGGAACCGAGATAATTTAACGAAAGTATGAAAAAGATGCTTATTTCTCGGCGCACTCTGAAGCCATACTCTAGAATACTACTAAGCACATAACCAAACCGCTGCCACAAGTCGTCGAAGTTGCAACCCATCAAAATGAGATCGCCCAGATAGGCGACAAAACTGGAGGCATTCCCCAGCATCATATCCATGGTCTGTTGAAATATGGCTAGCGTTGTCTCGACACAAAACAGCAGTCGGGTATTGTGGAACAGACCGAAGTGCATATTGACGGTCCGAAGTTCTCGAGATTATTCCTCGACTTCAACCTGGAGGTAAGCCTCCACCAAATCAATCTTCGCAAAACATTAGCCCCCATTCAGTCAGGAGAACAATCATTTGGAAGAGGCAGACGATGGGTGTACAGTGCAGTATTGAGATCGGTGGAGAAGTCTGCCCACAATCGGGTGATCACGTCAGCCTTCTGCACCAACATGATCGGTGTAGCCCATGCAGTGATTGGTCAGTTGGAGAACACCAGACTTCTGTAGTAGGTCAATCATGAACAAGGCTGCATGAGGTACTGGGCGTTTCGGCCTGAAAACTGGTTTAGAGGAGGCACATTCTGGCTCACGCTTTTGTGCACCATCCAAGCCTGTCGGTGAATATGGATGCATTTAGTTGTAAGAGGTCCTCAAGTGAACGCGTCGGGAACTGAGGTACCTTCGGGTGCTGTGTGCGTGAGGTTGCAAACAGAATTAATCAGCCTTTCCAGCAGATTCAGCTTGCCGATCCAATCCAGCTCCACGATACCAAGTTTGAGGCATGAAGTCAGGCAGCACGCGGCTTGTGCCGTCGAGCCATTGAAGCCTATGGAGCATTCAACCTCGCTTGTCAATGACAATTTACCCGCAGAAGCATTAGGGGCCCAACGTCCAGTCGGTTCCACATGCGGCTTACAAATTAGTTTCACGTCCGTTCATTGAGAAGCGTGATTTCGGCGCCCTTATCCAGCTGCAAATGATTGTATTGTTGATACAAAGCATCACAAACTTCCTTCGGCAGGCATAACCAACTTTGAATGTGGCTGTCACCGAGTTGGGCGGCGATTTGTGAGCTGCACGGCGGTGCTAGCCGCAGCGGCATCTGAGATTGACATAAATCTTCTTTAAGGTCATTCACTTGAGGGACAACCTTCTTGGCTGTACCAGCACCTAACTGCGAGTGGCAAAGGGGTTTCGGTGCAGAACTCCGCCTAACACTGTCGTTAACCACCATTTGGAGGGAATGAAATTTGGAAAAGTATTTTAAATGTTAGCTTGCTCCCAACCCTATTCACACGTAAAACCAGCACACGATCTAGGACAACACTTACTCTTTTCCTGTTTCGCCCTCTCAATTTCTGCAATCGCTTCTGCGGCCTTTCTGGCCTCTTCTTCTTCACGCGCTCTTCGCTCGGCTTCCGCTGCTTCTTCAGCTTCTTGTTTCGCCTTGCGTTCGGCTAACCTTTGAGCACGAACTCTATCACACTGTTCTTCCCATTCGGACAGGCGAGTCTTATAGCGGGTGTCTCTGGCCTCCTTCAACTTTGTAACGATACGCTGATAGTGATAGAAACAGGGAACAGACAATAGCAGGAGTAGGTCGGAAAATTACTTCTTTTTCTCACAGTTTTGAAACCACAGTTACAAAGTGCACATGAACATGCAGGCAAGCAGTGGTGCTTGTCCAAAAGATACATGACGCATGCGTTCCAACGATGGACATTGGTCATCGACGTCATGCTTGGTTAGGAAGATCGTTCCAAGCTGGCTAATGACCACTTCTATTTGTGCTAACTTGTGCCAAGCTTCTTCACGGAACTACGATACGACTTTGTTCATTATTATACCAGACCTTCAATAATTATCAGGTTTGTGCACAGCGCACTATCGGTGTCAGACAAATATTTAACTGCTATTTGAAGAGAACCCAACAGACGTAAGATGGCAGAAGTGAAACACAACCAGCCAAATTGATACAGAAAGCCTCAGATATAAACACAAGACATCAGTCGTCGAAAACCAAGAGTGCCGTCAATGAGCACCTCGTATGACATTTCCAATGGGCCTTGATGTATACATAACATATAATATAATTAATAAATAAATCATTCAGCTGTAGCACCCTTCTGCAGCCTAGCTGTTGTGCCAACAGAAGGAAGCATGACGGCTGGCATACTACCAGGTTGCCCCAGCCTAGACAAGGGAAGTTGAGAGGCAGAAATCGGGTTCGAACCATGTACCTTCCGGTCAGTGAATTCGCGTTCCTACCACATAACGCAGTAAAATACAGGTACGGGGCAGCTACTAGTCACAGCCACGGGATTTAAATGAAGGCTGCGTCCGGCGAACCTGCATAGTAATAGATTTCTGATACAAATGACTCTCCGTTGTTCAGACTAACATTTCGACGAACCGAAAGGATTTAGAATGTAGTGATTCTATCACAACTGATTATTTCCTTTTTGTCTGCCTTAGCTGACGGTGATTTAAGAAACCTATGGAGAACATAGTCTTTTATGCGTAATGAGAAGACCTCCTCGTTGAAATGTGTTGCGACGATCCTCACATGGGGAAAGTAGCCGATTCAACTTGATCGCTCAATCTTACCGACTGCTGAAAGTGACCGAAAGATTGATAACAAATTTCAACATTCATGAGCGTCTGCAAGGCTACGTACGAAAGACTAAGTAGAGGTGCACTTGGTGATAGGTGCAAACGTCTTTCCTAGCGTAACGGCTCTTCCAGGCATCACTGGTAAAGCAAGGTTGTTCGACAGGTAATCTTGCGGTTCCTCGACTTTCGTGTTTCCTCCGAGTAGCATACTAGTAATTCAACGAAGAAAGCTCAATCAACAACTGGACGTGTCACTGGGTAAGATTGGTGCTGAGTAATAGCCTGATTTAATTTGCATAACAAGTAAGTCGTATTTCAGCATAACCAAGAGTATGTGCGGCTACCCACGCTGCCACTGTTTGGCAGGATCCATCGGCCATTGACAGTAGGATGACAACACACGAAAAGTGGTTCACTTTATCATGAGATATATCACTCAATAAGGAGAGCCCGACTGTTTGCAACGCGAAACATGTCGGAGCATGACCATGGCCTTGTGGGGTCCACACAACCAATATGAGATGTTAATGAGGCCACCATCGCCGAATATTTTGAGTTGTTTTATTAGTTTCCAGAAGAACAGATGCAGACACTTGTTAGAGCATATAACGACAGATGACTGCCCACTAAATAGCATTAAAGACTACAGGGACTTCACTAAATCACGTCCTACGCGCGTCGTGCTCATCAGCCTCAGCTGTAACCAATATTCGATCTTTGGCACTATTCCATTGGGGTCCAGGTTCAGCCCCACATAAATAATGACGAGTGAGAAAATCAATTGCTTCTCGCCCTCTCGTTATGATATCTCATGCGGTAGTTAGCGCTAGCATCTTTTACGAACGTCAACAATTTTCATTTATGCATGTGAGATGGTTTTCAAGATATTTTTAGACACAACTAACGCTCTCAGTATAAAAACGACGATAAAGTAACGCGCCCTTTGAATGGGACCACAAAATCAGTGTCACGATCAAACATGACTGGATTACGGATAGGACTTTGAGTACAGACTAAGTTTGTTGGGCATTTTGAGTAAATCCCCTGATTACTTCGAGCATCGCAAGTGAAGATTGGCTGATATAACTAAGACTGGTGGCGATAGGTGATTGCGCAGGTACTACCAAACAGTGAGGCAAAAGTGTTAGACTATTCATATGGTAGGGAGGAATGGGAGCTCCCTTGCAAGTTGAGTACACAACAGAATGGACCAGTTTGGAAGCGAGATGTTGGTTATCCTGGAGCAAAGCACCTGACTGCAAATATGCATAATAAAAATCAATTAGTACAAACGAAACACTTATAAACCAATAAGGCGCTCTACTAACAAGCGTATCAATTCAATGGATAATGCATGTCATTTCCGTGTGGTATTTTACGAATGTGACAACTTTACTTCCTTGCTCCAATCACTGACTTCTATTTATACTCCCATCCGGGTTCGGTAGATCATGATAATGCCAAACGACTTGGTCAACGAATCGATGGACGCAGTGAAATCCCTCACACCAGCCACATTCCATAAGACCAGCTGGGACCTATCTCTACTACCCACCCACCAACTATTCTGGTACATCAGAAGAATCGGAGGAGGATCCGCAACAGTCAAAGGTATAGCTACCTACCTAAAAGCCAACTTCAAACCAATGCAAGAAATATGGACGCAAGCCGTCTCAAATGGGAATTCCATTTCCCCTACAAGACATCCTACATACCCGGGACAAATCCAGACACGACCCTTCGTTCCGCATAGAACTAGCAGACAACCCAACGCGGAATAGAATGGATGCACTACTTAGGCGAACAAATTTCATTAGCCAGAAACACAGATGTCGCACCTTATGCCGGATCCTTATTAGAGAAAACGTTCAGCTGTAGCACCCTTCCGGTCCTAGCTGCCCTAAAAGCCAACTTCAAACCAATGCAAGAAATATGGACGCAAGCCGTCTCAAATGGGAATTCCATTTCCCCTACAAGACATCCTACATACCCGGGACAAATCCAGACACGACCCTTCGTTCCGCATAGAACTAGCAGACAACCCAACGCGGAATAGAATGGATGCACTACTTAGGCGAACAAATTTCATTAGCCAGAAACACAGATGTCGCACCTTATGCCGGATCCTTATTAGAGAAAACGTTCAGCTGTAGCACCCTTCCGGTTCCTAGCTGCCATGCCACCCGAAGGAAGCACGAGGGCTGTGATACTGCCAGGTTGCCCAAGCCTAGACAGGGAAGTCGAGTGGCGAAGGTCGGATTCGAACCGCGGACCTTCCGGTCAGTAAATTCGCGCTCTAACCATTTGGGCCATCTCGCCCCATCCTTATTGGACTACCTGGAAACTGGAGGAAAAAATTATCCAAGAACTACATCCATCCCACTAGTTCAAATACCAATACCACCAACACAATCACCAGCATCAAAAGCAGAACCTCCCTCCGAACTTCCACAGACCTATAAAAAAACAACGAGACACTAAACTCACAACTACCCAGAACACCAGAGTCAATAACTACCAACTCTCAAGAAGACCACTGACTACCCAAAACGCCAACGCATTAACACTGACGAGGACTCCACAATCAGGTCTAACTTAACTGTAGCCAAACATGTACACAGACTATTCGGCATCCACTACTACAAAACCGACATCACAATCACTAGGGAACAACACCTCACGCTCGCCCAATACAAGCCGGCGGATACCAGAACCACGCAGTGCTACACTACATCACATGCCTCCCGTATCAGCTATTCGAGCTTTGGAGAATTAATAAAAACGGTGACAACCTTAGAGACCTTGCAAACCTCGTTAAAGTCTAAGATTACATTCATTACAATCATGGTACCATTCACCTTAGTCACTTCGTACCACTACAGCAAAGTCTAAGCAACACGACTCAACAGGACACGTCGGCGCTCAACACAATCCCCTACGCCTAAATTGCCAAGGACTCACTAGGAATATTAGACTCGGCTGTATCCTCAACAGCTATAGACACCAAAACAATGATCAACCAACAAATCAAATTAGGCAGCGATACCTAGTGGACCGAAGAAAGTGATGGTGGACTTATGGGACTCGCGGATGACAAAACCTTCCACCAAGGACAAACGGAAACATACCACTTCACATTCGACAACCAAATGAACTGCCTCAAACAAAAAATTTCACTATTCAACGACAAACAAGCGAACTACCTACCAGCCGCACGGAGAAAACCTTTGAAATACGGCATACAAATGAGTGTAACACTCAATGACACCACAAACGGACTCCAGCCGAAAATACCCGAAAAAGATCTGCCCTTCTTATTCATCTTCCTACCCTACATCGAACAAGTCAACTCAAGCGAAACCATCACCAGACTTTATGCACATGTTCATATGGAAACCGAACTAAACTTCACTCTCTGGACAGTACCCGATGGAGCCAAACACCTAACTACACACACGCATTTAAAGAACCAACTCACACCGACTACACACTTATACACAAACAAGACTCTCTGACAACAAGCTTCCCAGTTCAGTGGATAACCCTGACATTCCAATTCCCAAATCAAACCCTACTGACATTCCCTGAAACTCTCATAACAAACACCATGTACTGATGTACTTTCCACTCCGCTCACGCCATTGGTTGTCTTGTAGCTGAAATCTAATTGCTTGGAATTTTTCTGCGGTTCTGCCATAAGGCAACGTTGCGTTGTGTGCATAACCTACCGGAGAGAAGAGGACATCACGAGAAAACTCTGACCGGAGGAGATTAGTGGTTTATTTAGAACTTTTTGCTTCTATAATAAGTACCAAGGATACGTTAGTCCCAGCCATGAATTAGGGTGGGGGGGGGGCGATGGCATTTCCTGTTGTAACGGGCAAATACACGTATTTCTTCATCCCTCCCTCCAGTTAATACGGTCTGTGGACCAGCGAACCGCATCTTAAAGTCTTATCCGAACGTATGAACGCGAAATCCTGCTCAGTCCGGGGTCGCACACAGCGATCGACGGGAAAGTTTGACCACCCGTCCTACCCTATACAAACACCAAAACCGGGGCAAGACAGCATGAGCACCCAAGATATCTGACGGCGAGTTACTACCAGCGTCGAAAAGCAGGAATCAATAATACCGCATGGTCTTTAAGGGATAGTAACTCTAGATAGTGCATGGGGATCAAAGCAGGAAGTGCCAAAAGTTTGCCACATCAATTATGGGGGACGCACCACCTAGAGTTGCTACCGCGACTCACGCGTTCCGAAAGCTTTATGTCGATCACCACGCTACTTTGATCAGGTATGGTGATTTATCCTCCTTATCTCATGCCGTCAACGACTAGATGCTATCGTAAAACCTATGGTCAAAAATGGGAGTTTGATGACAGCCAAGTTCTTATTCCACCCGATGAATATCTAAAGTAATACTGTAAAATGATTACTGTTTCTAGATATGTTACAAACAGGTACCTGGATATCCGGCTTCATGCGAATAAGCCTGTTACGCTCTTTCAGTTGGCGCGCGTGTTCCGCCTTTGAGTGCTCCTCCAATTCAGTTACACTACGTTCGTATAGCTCTCGAGCTGCTCGGGCTTCTGGTTCAATGGCTGCTTGTAGTAGTGGGATCTCTTCCAAGCGTATGGCACGGACGAAGTAGTCCAATTTTTTCGCCAGGGCTTTGGCCTTTTCGGCCGCTTCCTTTCGCTTCTTTTTCACTTCCAATGCCTGGAGCAAGAGGTAATGAACCGTTGAGTTGGTGTATACGGAAATAAGCAACTCAACTAAAGTGCATAGAGTTGGACCAAAACAGGACAGGAGGATGATGGGTCAACTTTCCCACATTGTATCTCGAGGCAAAACCGATACGTATATTAGAAGACCGTGATCAACACTTGCTTCAATTGGCCGAGCCTCGGAGGGATAGGGAGGTGAGGTAACAAAACTGGCAACAATTTTGAGTAATTTTTCTATCTCGGGAGGCGTATTATGTGATCTAAGTGGTTCTGTACACTGTATGAAAAGTACTCTCAGGCAAAGCTGTCTCTGTAGCACGGCGGGCGAGTCTGGTTGTGAGGAAGAGTGAAAGTTGCTGGCCGCGTAAACTTATCCTGCCAACAGATCTTCCGTCACAAGCCGTGTCATGAAAGGTACGACTCAGCCAGCTGGTGTCTTACTAATACGCTACGGTCGATTGGGACATTTTCAGCTGGGCAGTTGCTTATCAAAATGGGACCTGCCAAAGCCAGATGAAACGACCCAATGTGGCAGTTTACCCAAAGTGTAAACAACACTGATTCTTTGGTATGCTCTGTGATAGCAATTTTGAAAGGACCAGAGAAATTCTAAGTGGTTATGATGATGTTGGTCATGAGTTTGAAAAACCGATGACAAACCGCACATACCTTTTTTTCCAGAATTTTGTCTGCATCAAACTGATCAAGCTGTTCTTCTGTCAGGTCCATCTTCACACCTATCTTATGTTCCATCAGTAAATTGTAATTTCCACGTGCAATTCGACGTTTGAGTCGGGCCTGTTCGTCCTCTGTTTTACGACGCTCGCGTTCTTCTGCCTCCTTGAGCAGATTACGCTCTTCGTGCTGCAGTCTCTGCTCGTATTCAGCCTGGCGTCTCGCTTCCTCGTCCATGAAGTACTGGAAAAGAAAAAGTTCAGCCTATTGAACACAGGACAAGCCGTCTATCGTCTTTATGGATCTCTAGACAGGTACTGTCTTACTCTCCCGTTGAGGTCTTTCATTCCATGAGACAGGTTTCTTCAAATAAATAGTTCCCCCTATATGGCAGTGAGCCACCAGTATTCGACGTTAGTGCTACTGTGCTCAATTACTGCTTTTCTTGCGACAATGAGTGAAAAGATATGCATACGGAGCACAACTAGTCGACTGGTGTATTTGGGCAGCATACCAAGACACTCTTGAGCAACGGTTTTTACTTTATTGCTATTAGTAAAACCACATTTGATCAAAATAGACGCTGACACGACCCATCTTCGCAAACCAGACTTGTACGTAAAAAACCATGAAGTCTCGCAGTGAAACCATAGGGTGTTGAACTTAGGCGCAACAAGACCAACTCACCTGATCGCGTTCTCTGTGAATGCGCTCTACCTCTTCTTTACGATATTCGATGTAGTCCCGACGTTCAAGCAGTTCTTTATGGAACCGTTCCTTATTATTTCGATATTCCTTCACCAAAGCACGACGGTAACCCGGCATCGATTGGTTTTCATCCAACATTTCGGTAATTTGCTGCATGACTTGGGCAAAGACAGTCAACTGCCGAGATAATTTGTCAGGCGCATTTACGTGAGTGGACTGGAAAGCGACAGCATACATGAGAGCATGGAATTAGGCAAATTCTTGCCGGAAGATTTATACAACTGGAAAATTAATGCCGAGTTTTGTCTGTATGGAATAGAATAAATTAAACTGGAGTGGCTTGTCAAGTGATTTTGGAGTTGATGCACCGTAATGTGATTATCTAGAACGTCCGAGAGCATGTGTCCAGCGAAAATGGATTAAAGTACCATCTAGAGGAAGGTGTCCAAACGACTGTGAACCGTTTGAAAAATGAAAGCAAATCAGGCCTATTTTCGGAATCGGTATTCGCAGTATGTCAAACCCGGGTAGGAGCGGTTAGAACCTGTTTGTCATACATGCAGCAGTTGACCAATGATAGTGAATTGAAGGTAAATTCATTCGCGGGAATTAAGACCATGTTGACTTGAATTCTGGCTGTGAGTTAGGCAAAATACGGTACAAACATAGGCGTTTTTGAAGAATAGTGTCACGAGCCAACCTAGAACAGTAACCAAGGTCATTTTGTAAGACGGCAAGCTGCTGACAGGCGTCCAAAAAAGAAAACGTCTGGGATAATACTTAACCTAGTGCAGTTCATGATTCTGGACTGAGAAATGGAGGTTTCTTTAGCGTAACAGATAAAGACATACCTGGGAAACCAGCTGACCACCATAGTCACACTGACTGATCCCCAGATCTGTAAACTCGTCGAACATAATGGCTTGAAGTCGATGATTCAACCGGATAGGAAGTTCCAAGTTGTGGATTAGTTCAATCACACACCTTTCGAGAGATATCGAATCCATGAAAGGGCACAACTTCATGAGTTCCTCAAACCGGATGGTTTGATAAACTTGTGACAACTGAAGCACAGTCTTTGAAACAATCACCTCGTGAAGCTGGCTGATGTATACGTTGAGCTCGGGTGTGTTTTGAATTAGACCCAAAGCCGGTTGAGACCGTTCCCATAAAGTAAGGGGCTGAAAATCAGCTTCCAAAACTTGATACAAATCGGCCAGCTCTGAAGGGACCATTGTATGTACTTTGTGTCGCACGAGATCATGAATCAAGCTCTGGCGTGTGGGGACCTGAAACAAACCTGTTAAGTGGAATACCATAAAAACCAAAACGACGGCTAGTTACCCAACAACCCTGCCAACGTCTTTTGTTTGATCATATTGTATTCACCAGAAAGGAGAAATTTATCCGAGTTCAACTTGGAATTCGGCAGGGGAATTGCCAAAGTGGCACACAGGACACGAGAACCAAGGGTCGAAAGCTCTTCGCGAGTGATATTCTTCTTATGATCCCGATACAAAAACATAACTTTGTGCAAAGCTGCAGCGTGGTACAAGTGACATCCACAGCGCAAGAACAACTCGGCTGATTTCGAGTAATAGTTTGTCAAAAGGACAGGACTCGAAACTTTCTTCGACATGAGGATAAAGCCCCATATGTCCTCGACGGCTTTGAAAGCTTCCTACAAAAAGTAAATCAAACGCACCGCGAACAGCAAGACAAACATTGTACATTTCCAGTTCCATGGCACAGTCCAGCTGCCGAAGGCGTGTTTCGAAATGCAAGATCTGCGTCTCTGGGTTGTTCAAATTCACCAAGTTGGGAGCGTTTGTTTGCGTTTGATTTTGTACTTTTTGTGTGTGTATTCGTAACTGATGAAATATATTTATTAGATGGATTCCAAATGACTCACCAGCTCACTCAGTTTGCGAAATTCTGCCTTACGACCGTATTTTATGCAAAATTCATAAGCTACAGGAGGATAATATGGCTTCCAAGGGAATCCCATGACTTACTGTCGTTTGCAATTTCATGATACAAGTGTTCCAGCTTGGCACTGCTACGCAATAGATCCAGCACAAGGCGATACCCATCCCAGAGGAACTTTAGCCACGGCATAAGGATCATCCTTGCCGAACGATCTTGAGATCCTTCAAAACTGACGGCATTCAACATGAGGCTAAATATGAGCATCTCGAACAGCCATATGATTACCTTTCAGGAGTTTCAAGGACATCCAAATCTTCAATATCCATGACTGCAGTTTTTGATTCGCGCTGAGCCTCCTCTGTTCGGTTCTTGATGAGAGTGAGATAGTATCGAATGACCTGTTCCAAAGAAGCAGTGTTCTCCATAGCGCTGATGTTTTTATACTGGTAAATGACTTTTCTGAAGTGGATGTTCTTTCGAAGTTCGACGCATAGTTCGACGAATAGCATCATCAGCTCCTCCAAAACCTTTTGCCACTGCTTGGCTCGGCGTAACTTCATGACATCGTACAGGATTTCTAGGGCTATCGCCTTTTTGTCGCATTTTATTAGCTCTAAAAAAGTCGTGGTAGAACGAAAACACGTGGTTAAACTATGTTGAGAGAGGGTTAAAAGCAACCGGTAGTACACTAACCCACCGCTATAGCGATAAAATAAGGGAATAATATTGATAAGTGACTGTTACTGGTAAATTGGATGTGGAATGTTTAATACCAACGATAGACGGAACAAAGTAGAATGTTATGGTGCGTTTCCTAGCAAAGGGAATGATTTTAGAGGGCTCATAGTTGAATGTGAAACCTGTATAAATACGCAGAAACTGCCTATCATAGACTAAGATGCACACTAAATACATAAGCTTTTGAAGAGGGGGTTAGAGTTTGAAACAATGCAGCGAGTTTCAGAGGTAAGTTTTGTGGAGGCGGGAGGAGGCAAACACTTCAGTTCTGCCGTGGAGGTCAGGAAATCGGTAGACATGAATGGACGGGAGTGGGAGAGAAGTATGATTAAAAGGCCGAGGCGCAAGGACAGAAGAAGGTACTAACCAGGCAGACACTGAAGGACCAAACACAATACGATGGAGTAGTAAAACACCTAAAATTTCCAAGTGACGCGTCACAAAAGCAACTACTTGAAACCGTGAAAACGACGTTCCCTAGATCAGGGATAATGCCTCTGTTGCAAACGGCGCCGGATGAGGATAAACATCAAAAGCATCGGGCCTATAGATCGGTGAAGTCGGGTGCTTGGCTTTCTTAGATGGCCAGTGGTGAGAGCAAATAATAAGGATACAAAAGCATGCTAATCTTGGTGCTATCTGAACATTCACAAACCCCAGAAACCTATCCAAATGGAATTTTGCTTGCTTGCGAACCTACCGAACAATTCTGGAGTCTGTGTGACAGTCACTTTTATCGACCCATTAACTTGCTTTTGCAACCACGAACCGTGAACGATTGTCCGTTGCTTTGGAGTACCACATATGAATGCTTCATAGAAACCGTGTATGGCAGATTCAGAGCTACAGTCCACTGGAGTGTAAGTAGACAAACAGTGCTATGGACATCACATTCTCAAGATTGCTTCACAGATGCTTCTATACCAACTGCACAGAGGCGACTGTCAATGAGTATCCAATAAAGCAGAGGCACTTCAGCTCGGTCGCTAGATATAATACCACCGCCCGCATAAATAACTGTAGCGGCCTCCGCATCACCAGAGGTGCGGAATCGGAATCAGGAAGAGCGAGGGGCCAGTCAGATTATTTTCACTCCCTGCGTCCTGTATTCCTGTTTCTGACAGACGGCACGCGTCGACGCAGAGGGAATCCGGACAGGAGCAAGAGCCACCTGTTGTACTGCTTGCTTCAGTGTGCAAACATTGAAGGCCTCAAGGGTTCGAAATGTCTAGGGTTGTCACTGAAGTCAGAAGCATAAATGCTGCACATGCATGGCGAATATAGCAGGCAGTCCTAGAGCTGTGAGGTGCGAGGATAGTATTCAAGATCGGGTGGGTAGGACAGAAGAGGGCGAACATGAGTGTAAAAAGACAGGCGTCAGAGGTAGCACGTTTCCGCTTGCCCGCCCCGCGGTATACAAGTAAGGCGGCCCAAATGGTGACACCACGCGACGGTCGATGTGGCATGAGATTGTTTCAGTTGTATGATGGTTGTACGCATTCTGGGGTACTACCAGGGCGCCCACACCTAGACAAGAAGCCGACTAAGGTCCTCAATCAAAACCTTAGGCTGAGAAGCCTGACCTCAAGGTAGCGGTGTGTTGACGGGAAATGCAAGCGCATCTTAATTTTTACGGAACAAGTCGCCACACAAGTTCCAACCCCCGACATGGAGGGACAGGAGGCTGTGCTTGCCAGACAGTTCACCATTGATCAACCTAGTATGCGAGAATCAATGTGGGAGAGATGGCTCAAAGGTTAGAGCGCGAACTTACCGACCCGAATGTCCGTGGTTTAAACCCGATCTCTGCATCTCAGTTTGCCCCGTCTAGGCTTGGGGAACTTGGCAGTATCCCAGCCCTCGTGCTACTTTCAGGTGGCATGGCAGCTGGGTACGGAAAGGGTGCTACAGCTTGACGATAGATCAATGGGTCGCAGATGAACACAAGCTTTCAAACTACAGTAAGGTAGTCTCCTCGTGACGTGTGGAAGGACCGGATGAGTTCGAGTGAGACATGGGCATCAGTCCACAATCGTCGACGAAAGTCTAGCGTGTTATTCCATTGCTTTAGCGCAATAAAGCATCCAGTCAAGGCTGTTTGTACCATACAATCTTCAAGGGTTGCGAGGCCGTCGTGGCTAGCCTAGGGACCCTACTTTAAAAACATCTGACGTGAATAAAAATTCTAAGAGAATGGAGTATCTCGACGATGATTCCCATACTCAAGAAGGGTGCAAAAGCATCGTGTGAAAACCAAGAAGACATCAATATTGTGGTGATAACTTCCAGGATGTTCTTTCGTTGACCCACCACAGGGGAAGCCAGATTCGCGAGAATTAAGCTGGATTTCTCCTGGTCGGGGTCACATCCATCATAGCTTCACTTTGTGTCAAGTACTGGAACTGTGCTACTCCTTCTGACACCAAAGAACGATCGTCTTTCTCGGTCTCAAATCTAATATTAACTCCGTTGACAGTAACGACGAAGAGTGTCCCTCTTAAAATCTTTCTCAGACACCCATTTCTTTACAATCCAACCAAACGAAGGGTGGAAACGAGCCACATGAGGTGAAACGAGTTGGCATCGAAGTATGAAAGCCAGTACTAGCTGTGTTGGTGATTGACATCTTCCTGGATGCGGACCCCAAGACGGGCCACATCAAGGGTTAGAGACATTGTCAGACAGGGCCCAGTCGTGCTCGTGCATCCAAGCTATTGCCTCCAATATATAGCTCCCTTTACAAACACTTCAATTAAAAGTCCACTGACTACCCGTTTACCCGGGCCTAGACAGGAGAAGTCGAGAGACAGAGGTCACGTTCGAACCACAGACCTTGCGGTCGGTAAATTCGCGCTCTATCTCGTCCCAAATAATCAGTGAAACCACGGCAACTATAACCACTGAATTACAATCACGCGGTTCTCACAGCTGATGACGACCATGTAAAAGTCGTTCAGCTGTAGCACCCTTTCGGCGCCTAGGTGCCATGCCACCTAGACCTAGACAGGGGAAGTCTATGGACAGAGGTTGGGTTCGGACCACGGACCTGCTGGTCAATAAATTCCCGCTCTAACCACTGACCCATCTCTCTCTCTGCATACAAAACATGACGACGATGTTTTGTATGCAGAACCATTTGGATCTTTACAAAATGGCTGATTATCGGGAAATTTACCCAGAATGAGTGTCATGTTACGAATAACATAGGCCACAATAACATTCGACCAAAATACCCAACTTCAGAATGACTTGGCTAAGACAGCAGAGGTGGGACCAGTCCCTCAACCCCAAGAAATGTTTTAATTCAACTGAAAGCACTGTCTGATGAAGCCAGTGCACGAAACACGAAGGTCCTAATCATATTTGTGGTGTCAGAGGTCGCGCGCAGCAGGCTAAACTGGTTACCACATGGCCGGCGACGCCTCAGAGGCGTTGCTAATGTCGGATGGCGTCAACAAATTCGTAACAAGATCACCAGAAGACGGATATATGGTTGTGCGGTGGGTACTTCCTCCGCAGCAGAAATTATCAGAACCATCAACTGCGACCGCTCGGCTATAGGCAACGCACGCCGAAACACCGTCCGTCGAGACCAGTGTTGTTCTCCATGCCTTCTTCAGAATGGCGCAAACCCGATGTGAACAACGTATAACTTGACAGAAGGGTTTGGGTATTGCTGATGTGGTACGACTTCCAAGATACGGTCCGCTTGACCCCTCCTACGCTTGGGTGTAAATATTGCAAGAAATGGCGGCTAATCCATGTCAGTGGCGTTCTGTCGTCATTTTCTCCCAGACTGTGTCAGAGCGCTTAAAGGTGCAGGCACCGCAGAATGCTTGCGATAATACGGTACCAGATCCCTCCGTCATACACTTTCCCCTTCTTCAAGCAAAGTTAGATTAACTCTGTGGGTGTGGCTGTGAAACATCAGCGTCAACACTGGCATTGCTCTCACCGATGGTATGACTCAGAGTAAACGTGAGCCTCGGAGTGGACAGGAAGCCAGGAGCTTTTCAACGAGTGACCAAAATATGGCGGCGGTCCATACAGCTACAGATCGACCTGCACTCCGACTGTCGGTAGCAAGCCGGCAAAATGAGATGAGTCCCACTATAGTGTGCTTTTGTCAAGCCTCAGATCCTGAGCCCCAGATTTGAAGCATACAACTACCCTGCCAAATAACAGTAAAAGCTTGATACAGTTTCCCGGTGACCATCGACGCCGTGCGTGACGATGTCTTCAGGAGGGAACTCGATAAATGCCGGGGAAGTCTTATTTCAAATAGTCTAGACATGAGGTGCAAAGGCAAGTAATGTGTATCCAGATTCCCAAATTCTTGGAACAGTTTAATGTCCTCTACGAACTGGTCCACACCGTTGTGGGCATTGACAGCTGCGGTAAAAACCCTACGTGGAAGAGGTTCTCCAACAGGATGAGAATATCGCAGGTATGTTGTTGGCCACTTCAAGATGGTCGGCGACACCGAAAATAAAAATAGATAAATAAATAAATAAATAAATAAATAGATGAATAAATAAATCGTTCAACCGTAACACCCGGTGCCTAGCTGCCATGCTACCCAAATGAAGCACAAAGGCTGGGACACCGCCAGCCTGCTTAGACACGGGAATTCGAGAGGCAGGGATCGGATTCGAACCGCGGACCTTCCGGTCAGTAAACTCGCGCTCTAACCACTTGAGCTAGTTCGCCCACACTGACCGGAAACGGTACTGGGGCTACTCATCGGAGAGCATCTGCTGCAGTAAACGACGAGTGTCGTTTCAGTTGATTTCAAGGTATTGAATCCTCTGGCTGAACTTCGAGACATGAAGTTTCTCCATCGAAGTAGGGACATCAGTAGAAATTTTGTCCAACTGTGACATCTATGACACCCGGGGTGGTCACTGTCTGCCAGGAGCAATCATCATCATCATCGACAGCATGACATCAGTGTTCAACACCGATGCTTCACTGCCGTACAACCATGACTTAGTTGAAAGCCTTATTGTAACGAAAAGAGTAAAGGTGGACGGGGGGTGGACTTAGTGCTAGCTTAACACAATCATTCCGAGGTGCCTACACCTCCAGACATTCACTCAGGCAATCTGCATAAAAACTGACAACAAGAACGCCACTGACATCGGTTGGCAGCCATATCTTGTAGTGTCTCCAACCAGGCACAGTGAGGACCACGCGGTCCCCATCCTGGAAGGCGAGTAGCACAGACAACCCCCAAGCGTTTCGTGATCCCCTTCATACTCCTCTGCCAAGGGTTGGCCACCTCTCTGTTTACGCCACTCTGAGTTGGGCATGGAAAACAGCACTCTCTTCGGTAAACGATGGTTCGGCATGCATAACACATGTCCCAACCAACGCAGCTTCTGGTGCTGGAGACATTCTTCAATGGAAGTACCCATTACACAACCGAAAACACGCTCTCTATCTGCCTCGTTACGGATTCGCCGACACCAACCCACACGAGCTATGGTTCTGACAGGGCAGCAGCGCGGTCCATACCACCCCCATGGATCAGAAGCTGATATATACGCATGGAGGATGTAGGGGAACCCGCAGCCTTTGGTCACTGGTGTATCCGAGGCATTGGGTGAGTCTGGTCGGAATATTGGATTCGCAATGTTGAGGTACACCTGATAGTCTTAGAGGGAACTTTCCCACCATGGATGAGCTACTCATGTTCCATTGTCTTGTACTGGCTAGGTCATATACTTGGCACGCCACAAAACAGTCCACTTCACAGAGCTCTCGTCCAGCCCTGTGCAAACTAAATGTGACTGAGATACGGGCACGATGACCTAGTAAAGAAGCATGAAAGCACTAACCAGTGAACTCAGTTAACAAATATAGCCTACATGGAGGGGGAATTATTTAAACGATGATTAATGACACTGACAGACTCAGTTCAACCGCGCAGCCAGTGGCCTCCTGCACCAAATGTATCGCAGCTGTCGTTTCCTGTTCCTCCAACTGACTAGACTGATACTGATACGAGGTAGCCGATTGTACCATTGCTCCCCGTGCCTGAATATCTCACAGCCCTGTCCCCTTTATCCGGTGACCAAGACTGTGACGACTGTAACCAGAATACCTTGAGCGAATGGTTTCTAGTAGATTAACTGAGCTGAGCTCCCATGACCGATCGACACAAATTGTCACAATAATTCACACTCGAAAGTTAGCGCCGTAATTTCCAGTGTACATGCTTTGCACTATTGCTCCTCGTAATATGTCTTATCTGTAAAAGGCCCAAATCCAGAGCGGGTTAAGAAATGCGCAAGCGGCGACCAGACCGGTTCCTTATCCGTAAAAAAGGGCCGCCGCGGAGTATGTTACAAAATGAACCCAAAAACCCATGAAATCGAAGTGATATAACGTCATGAGAGCATGCACTTACCTCTCGCCTTCGTCAGAGCCGTCTCCGGCCTGTGATACTGGTTGGGAGCCATGCTCGAACGCCCAAGGTCAGCAACCGGATAAACGTCAATTTGCCCGGGTGGCTCGAAGCAGCTTATTCAAACTATTCGCCGTCTTCCAGTTTGGCCATGATTCTCGGATTCACGGATTGATACACAGGAGCGAGGCTTTTGCCCAAGTTTCCCGGGTCGGTTTTGTTCTTGTCGGTCAGTGGCTGTCGTTCACCTGAAAGGCACAAGTGAACAAAGGGTGTAGCACTGCTCTTTATGTTCTCAGCGCGGGGCAGTATGCT